AAGTCATAGAACCAACGAAGAAATCATTAAACTCAAAAGAAATGATAACCTAAGACATCAAGATTCAAGAATCAATTGGTGAACTTCATTGGTTCTTTATTTATTATAAATTATCAGTCGCAGTAGAATTACTACCAACCACCAAAAACCTTTACATTTTGGATCACTATTTGGCCATACCATTCCTTCATTTACAACTTCAGCAATTCCTTGGTTTATTTATCTACTTCAAAATTCCTCTTCCTCTTCATGTACTTCCTCCAGGGTAAGTGCAAGCATTGTAACCTACAGGAGAAAACAAAAACCTTTAAATGCAAATGAAAGAAAGATTAGTCGAGAATGCAATCTAATCCCACTTCGACAGATGAGGAAATAAAAACGTAGATAGGATTTTATTTTTATTTATTTACTTCTTTTCCATACTCAAAACGAATCACATTATAATTTGTGTGGCAAGTCATCAAGAATCAAGGCATTCTAATATGCATCCATCTATTCATTCATCACTCTTTCAGGACATCATTGTTGAGGAGAAATACGACCGTCCTCTTAGTTGAATGTCATAAAAGATTTTACATGCCATCGCTGGACACCAATTAGTTTTCGGATGAGAGGGTTGAACGATCCTGACAATCACAAGGAAAACGACAAGTTATTTTTTGAGGGAAGGAAAAAGGGTACTTACTAGGATTAGTAGTAGAGAGTGTGGCAGTCTGCATGAAGTCGCAGTTCCATGGATTCTTGCCAGCCGATTGATATAGAAGATTCATTGCATAAGCAGCATGTGATGCTACAGTAACTGGTTCAAAACAGGCACCACCAGGTTGAATTGGACTACAATCAATATTCTGGCCACAGGCATAGTCAAGATTTGCCTGCAATTGAGCATCAGATACTCCCGGCTTTGGCACACACCAACCAGCTACTGCTTTTGGAGCCGGTGTCGCTGGAGTTGTAGGGGTCGTTGGAGTGGGAGTAGGAGTCACGGGCGTTGGCGAAGGAGTCTAAGTAGATGGATGAACCAAGAAGAATAAGCAATTAGCATTCCTGAGTTAAACTTTCATCTTTCACATATAGTTTTTTATGAGATCAAATAAAAGAAAGTAGTCTCACCTGTGCGCTCTTTGAGAGACCGGCATCATAAGTCATGGAAAGATCAGGCATAAAAAGTCCAAATGACCTCTCTGATCCCGGCCCAGGTTTCAAATTCTCGTCATAGAGTGCAAAGATATAGGTATCAACAGATTTCCCGGGCATAAGTGGGGTTCCAACCATTGACCTCAGGTGGCTTATCAAGTTTCCATTATACGCTTTCGCATTTTCCAAACTAGGACCAGCTTCATTGGAGTCTCCTTTGTAAGGCCACCCCGTCTCAGCAACTGCAATCTCAACGTCCTTAAATCCCACTGCATTCAAGGCAGATCGTACAGCATCGACCTATATAGCATAAATTTCAGACCAAATAACAGCACTAGTAAAAACGTAAAATATTGTCACAAATATGAGATCTAATGTTGGTTAAGTTTCTTACAAAAGCAAATTGATCTTGCACATCATTTTCACATGAATGGGGTTTCAGATATTGGCCCATGACCCCATCTCTATTACAAGATACTAAACCGGTGGTCCCTCGCCAACAAAATTTACAGAGTACCAAAGTCCATATATTTACCAAAGCTTAAAAGTTACTTTCAAGTAAATCAGCAAGCTAAACACGTTTGAGGTTTTCCCAAAGTTACTTTCTTTTGTGGATTTTCAATACAATAACTAACCTTTTTTTTCCTGGAAGTCTTTACTTACTATTAAATAATGCAAGTTTGCTTCTTCTTTTCTTAAACTTAACCAAACAAGTACTAATTGCTAGATGCCATTATTCAAATGGCCAGCCTGTCAACAACCAACCATATGGAACCAGTATATTATTATGCTTCAATGCCATCATTTTTCCACAAAAAAAGTACAATTTTGTGGGCAATCCTATCCTTTAAATATGTGTACACAAATTCAAGTTGCAAGAAATCTTGACACAAGTCCAGCAGATTACATAGTCTACGGCTAGGTGGCCGACTTTGGCGTTCCCACATTAAGTGCTTTTCGAGTCAGATGAATTCAATAATTAGAATAAGTACACAGCAGTAAATTTGTCCAATCTCCAACTGTTCAAACTTTTAGACGAGAAATTCAATAAATACTACTTATAATCTCAAGTTAGAAATAGAATAAACTTATTTACCTGGGCATCAAACATGTTCATGTACTTAATACCATTTCCTGAGTCCACTCGTCCAGCGTTTGGTTGGAATAGACAGAATGCCAATGTTTCAGGCCTCTGATCACTTTGGTAGGCAAAGAAAGGATATGGATTAATCATAAAAGGCGAACCATTTGAACTTTGAAATTTCAATAAGGCTTTCAACGCATCGCCAAGCCCTGGGTTGAAAGCACCCGACGAGGGCGGATCAGACTGACTTAATACGGCCATAGAATGTACAGTCGACACCTTAATCTTTCCACCTAGTGAAGCTGCAAATTACATTGTAAAAATATTTCCAAATCAAGCATGCATTTGATTAATCATCCTTTTTCATAAGATGTTACAACCGAAACTAGATCAACATGCACTTTACGCGGTACATTTTTCAAAATTAAGCAAAAATTTCATCAACCATCCATTTTCAGAAGGGTTTACTGATGAAATTAGTACAAAATGGAGTGAAATTTCACATTGGAGAAAAAAATATTATTGTAAAATGCTAAAGATTATGAGTGGACATGGCTCAATTTGGTTCATTTTATTCGACTCTAACCAAAAGAACCAAATGGTTCAATTGTAAATTTTCCTTTCAGTAATGTAAAAATGGTTCCATAGGTATTTCGAACTTACACTTTTTTTGAGCTTCAATTTCATAATTTGAGTTATCAATTGTGGGGGTCGGTCAGGGGGGTTGTCAACCCCCCCCCCCCCCCCCCCCCCCCCCCCCCCCCCCCCCCNTAGAATTTCTCTATTCTGATTATGTATTAATGTAACGCAAGTTCATTTAGATTTAATCGGGAAAAAATAAATTTGACCAATCTACTAGAAAAGTCTACCCTTTGTCTCCCACTAAAGGCATGTCCCAAAACGATTTTGCTACTTGTATTGACATAAGCAATTATCAAAAATGACGTGAATGGAAAAAATTGGATAAAAAAATTAATTGTATTTTAAACAGCAAATGATAGAACCTAACATTATGTAATCGCTAGCAAGATCCATCCCAAAATAATCATACCACGTAAAATCAAATTAATTATCACCTGCATTGAGGGCGTTTTGGACATTTTGCATGGCGGGCAGTAGTTGGGAAATGAGAGCCTGATCTCCCGATGTCATGACCTCGTTACCGACATTGATGACTATAATTTTGCTGGCCGGATAGTACGCAAGTACGTTGGATCCGACCCACTGACCCGCAAAGTTTGGGTCGGACGCCAGAGCCGGAATATCCCCATTGGCGGCGCCGATCACGATACCAATCCCAGTATTCGCAAGAGCCTTAATGATCACCGGGTCGGCGCCGTACAGCCGCACCTTCTGGATGCTCGTAGACTTCAAAAGCTTCACCGTCGCCTCCGGTGGCGGAAGGTTGTCGGCAACTTGCCCGTAATTAACACCGATAAACGACTGCGAATCTGTAAATAGCAGTTTTTTACAACTCGGAGTGAGATAACTCAGCAGCCATAACAGTAACGTATAGAACTCTTAGCTTAAAAAGGCAAAATGCTTTACTGGAATCACTTTGCTGCATGAAAATGAAAGAAAGAACTTACCTGAAGTATAGAAAGACTGCATTAAAAAGCAAAAGAAGAGGAAAAAAATAAAAGTAGATTTCTGATTCTGCATACTTGAAGGCATGAATTTAGATCGAAAAACTCTGAACAAAACTTTATAAAGAGAGGAAAATTGGAATATATTAATAAAGTAATGGACTTTGAAGAAGACTTCAAGTCTACAACGGTAAAATTTTAGGCGTGGAGACTGGGGTGCTGGACCGCTGGTAGTGTATATAATGGGGGTGGGGCCGGTGGGAGATGGAAAAATTGCAACGTTTTGAGATTGAATTATTCTAAGGATAACTGTGCTTATCTTTTTGGTCCCTTTTTAAAAAAAAAATCAACTTTTCAAAATTCGTTTTTAATCGCACGTCCTCCAATAACACAATATTACACGTAAATTAAAAACTTTTTATTACTTTTTAACCACATATTCTTTAAAAAAATTGTTATTCCAAAACTCATTTTTCTCAAACAAGAGTCATATTCACACCATAATTTTTATTTTTTGGACTACAATTTAGTTACATTTAAGGTTTTTAATTTTTGCTCATTATATCACTTATATTTCTAATGATTTTTCAGGTCATTTTTATTCTCAAATATTTCATTAGTTAACACATTTTGTATTTGATAATAATTTTATATCCAAAATTTTGTTGAAATGGCATAAAATAACTTATTTTTTTCAATATATTTTAATAAATAAATATTGCGAAAAAATATTTTTCCCTCATTTCATAGTATGAAAATAAAATATTTTGATATAAATCATCATTGAGGATGTGATGTGCTAACTAATGAAATGTTGAAAATAAGATTTCGACTAAAAAATGTTAAGAAATAATTGTTAAAATTGAGGAGTTTAACTGTAATTAAAATATGGTATACAAAATAAAAATCGTTGTGGCAATATAATCGCCCTTATTGTAAACCCTGGACAAACAGGGACGTTGGGCCCTATGTGGCCCTGGATGTGTAGCATGATTTTTTGAGAATTGGGAAGTGGAGAAGAAGAAGGTATTTGGGCGTATGATGAGAAAATTTACTTTTATCTCGTCTAATAGCCATTATTTGTAAAAAAAAAAAAAGGTTTTGAATGGTGATTTTTAGGAGAATGTATAATTAAAAAGTATTGAAAAGTTTTAGATTTACGTACAAATTATTTTATTATGTGAATATGTGGTTAAAAACGAGTATACAAAAAGAGAGAGTTTCAAATAATGATCATCAAACGAGGCTTAAATTTCAAATAATAGAATTCAATATTTATTGTCACCATTGAATTACCACGTGTATTATTTATTTATTTAAGTTTGAATTTCGATTAAATAGTGGATTATATATGAGTGTTATAAGTACATAACACAATACATAAGGGTATCCATAATGGACACATGAGGCCCCCTATTGGGGGGCTCTTGGGCTCGCAGGCACCTCCCAATATGGGGCCTCCATGCGTCCTTTATTTAATACACATGTCTGTTTAACAATAAAAGAATGAGGAAATTACACAATTCCAGGTGTTTAAAGTATCAAATTCAAAAATTAGGGACTAAATTTCAATATTCAAAAATCAGGTGCTATATAAACACTATAACCCTAATTTTTCACATAACCCCCTCCCCTCTCTCTC